AATAAATTTTAAAAAAACATTTAAAAAAAATAAATAAATTTTGTGTAAGTTGAATAGTACCTCCTCCCATCCTGGGGTTAATTTTTTTTTTACATGTGTGCGTGAGCATTTAATAACATAATTTATGCAAACCATCTCGAGGATGCTTGGCATACAGCTGGCACTCAATAAATATTAGCGCTCCTCCCTCTAGCACATTCCATCCTGCTCCAAGGCTGGCACATGCAGTGGTGTTGGCACTCTACTGCCTTGGATTTCACTCAAATCCCACTTTCCATGGAAAAATGAATAATTGCAAAAAATTGCTTATTTTCAAACATACTAAGAGTTTCTTTTTAAGACCAACAGCTCACATTGGAGCATTTTCGTGTGCCAGGCCCTGATCAGTTCACATGTATGAATACACTTCATCCTCACACGACCCCCATGAGGGAGCCCAGAATGATCTGCTCAAGGGCATGGAGAGGGCCAAGAACAGAGCGTGCTGTGAACCCAGGTGTCTCAGACCCAAGGACACTTCACGGAGGTCTCTTTCATGTGCACCGGGGCCTGGCACACATTTCCTGTGACTTTTTCTCCTGCTCCCACGCCTTTTCCTTTGAACTTGGAGTTTGCTGGCATTGAGTTTATGTTTTATTTTTCGTTTTCTCCAAAGTATTTTCTTCTCGGTTTTGCTAGATGGGGACCAGAGTCAACAGAAATGGGGAAATATAAAGGGAAAAAGAAAACAAGGGAGTATTCTCCTAAGTGACGAGTCTTAGGGCAGGATTAACCAAAAATGGAGAAGAAATCAGCCCTTGTACAGCAGCCCTTGTGCCGACCGACTGTGTAGGTGCTGTGCACTTTTCGTCTTTCTATAGGCAGGTTTATGGCCCCACTGACCGTAAAGAGCTCTGGGTGAGAGGGTAGCCCCTGACTACAGAGATATTCTTCAGAATATTTTGTTTTCTGGGAAACACACACACACACACACACACACACACACACACACACACACAGGATGTCAGGTGTCTGCTCTAACTCAAAACATCAAATTTCCTTTCCTATTTAAGACCATGGATCAAAGTTGGATAATTCCTCAGCAAACAGGGGCTTACGCCTTGGTCTCTTATTTCCAAAAGAGCAAGTATCTTGTTCTGCAACCTTTCAGAAGATTAAAAAAAAAAAAGAAGAAGAACTAGGGGCACCTGGGTGGCTCAGTTGGTTAAGCATCCGACTTTGGCTCAGGTCATGATCTCACAGTTCATGGGTTCGAGCCCCGCGTCAGGCTCTGTGCTGACAGCTCAGAGCCTGGAGCCTGCTTTGGATTCTGTATCTCTCCCTCTTTCTGACCCCTCCCTCCCTTGTGCTCTCTGTCTCTCTTTCTCTCTCTCAAAAAACGAAACAAAACACAAAAAAAGAAGTAATAAGCTAGAGAGAATATCTAAAGTGTGAGGAGACTGGAAAAAAAGCAGATGTATATATACAATTATATACATACACCTACATGTCTAATAATTTCTGCTTTTATTTATCTACACTATTTAATATTTTCCAGTATATGATTAAGCAGATGGCAACATTTGCAGGAAGATAAATATTGTTCAGTGATGCGTATTTCTGTATACAAAGTGTAATGTATTGCTCAAGCAAAATAAAACCCCATTGAGAGTGTGAAAAAAAAAAAAAAAAAACAACCCGTACCATCAATAAAATACCCTCTGTTCTCTCTGGTCTCAAAACGTTTGGATAGAAACAGAAGCTACACCTCTCAGTCTGTCAGAACCAGAGGTGATCTGGATATAGTGAACCAATTTTTTAAAGTCACTGCCAAGGTCTGAAAAAGTCCTGCGTTATCTGAGTAATGTGAAGTATGAGGAGTTTCTGCCGAAAAATCAACATTTCAAAGGGGTCAGCGGCCACAGAAACCATTCTCAGCTTGCATGTGTGTATGAGGGCAATTAAAAATTCGGCTCCTTAAATGAAACTTACGGAGGAGCAATTTATCTAAGGGCACAGGCGATAAATGTGAGGACCTGGAGAGGCTCGCTGGAGGCGAAGGGAAAGAAAAGAAACTGGAGTGTAAGCTTTCTGACACTCTCCCCAGTGTTCTTCCTCCCTCGATTAGTGAGCCCATCTGTTTCATAAATTCTGAGGTGACAGACAAATCCACAGCTTGCTGGAGACCCGGGGAAGGAATCGGCGTCTAGGCTGCAAGTCTGCAGCAAGCCACCTGATAACTCTAATGCCTTAGGAGCTTTGGAAGAGGCTGAGGGGGACACGGGGGCTTGCAAATCTTTTCTAGACATGTCCATCTTGTCGCCACCCTCATGCTGCCTCTGACTCTGTCTGCTGAGAAACAGCACGTTTCTTCTTGGCTTCTTAAGGTGCACCAAAAATACAGTCATGCCCTTCCACTGGGGTGCAGCTCCCCAGTCACAGAAGGTGCACGTGTGGAAGCCCTGGGTCCGTGGGCACAAGGAAGCAGCAGGTCTTGTTTTAGAAACGCTCTCCACACAACACCAGCCGCCTGCCTGACACTCTTTGCGATGTGCCCACCCAGCACCACCACCAAGGGGGGAGGGGCGGGGGACAGATTCCCTCTGCCTGCAAGAACCGGCCCCCTGCTCACCCTGCCCCAGCCCCCCTTCCACAGAGTGCAGAGATGAAGCATCGCATCCCAAGCATGCGTCTCACCAGCTCTTTAAGAAAGCCACCCGGAAAATCACAGGGAATTTTTTTAACGTCCCACTCCTGAATCCATCCCCAAAGCATCCGGCCAGCAGCCCCTGCAGGGTCTGTACACAAACCACATGTTGCAAGGGCCTCGGTGGCACTCAAGAGGTCTGGTCCTCTCCTAGCCTACAACTCAAGCTCAGGCGACATCGGACTTTGGGAACAGCCTGCCCTCTTCTGGTCTCCTTGAGCTCCATGAAGGGCAGGGGCTGGGTGGGCACAATCAGGGGAGGGCAGACCCCCGGCTCCATCCAGCGTGTCTGCGCTGTGATTTCAGGAGCTGGCAGGGCGGGGGGCGTTGTGTGTGGGGGGAGGCGGGGGTAGACATGAGGCAAGGGAAACAGAGGACACAGACAGGCCGATAAAATAAAATACAAATCCGGGAGAGATACCCATTAACCACAGCCTGGGAGGCGCCCAGGGAGAGGAAAGGAGGACATTAAACACACACACACACACACACACACACACACACACACACACACGTTTTGGACGGAGTACACAAAATGTCAAGCACCCAGGAAGAAATCAGCCACCCAGGCCTCCTTCCTTCTCTCCACTTTTTTCAACAGGTGGTCTCTGCACCCAAAGATACCTCCTGGTGCCTGTGTGAACCACCAGATGCAAAGGATACAGGAAGTCCCATGGCCCCCATGTTCATCCTACATTTTCCCATTCTGGGCCAGCGGTGCACGTCCTGAGCGCCCTCCCACCTGACTCCCCGGGAGGGCTCTAAATCCAGAAAGAACCTCTCACTGAATTTCTGGCCAAACATATCACAAGTCACCCCAGGAGTTCAAAGGCAGCATCTGGGGGTACTCTTCTCTGTAAAGAAAAGGCCACAGGACGTTGGGAATGTTCTGGTTCTCCACCGGGAATCTTGCTCCAGTCTCCCCCCACCTCCACAAATGAGGGAAAGGCATCTACCTGCTACCCACGCAGACAAGCCAGCGACGAGAAATGCCATCACATCGCGTCCTGGGGTTGTCTCTGCCCACAGGCACAAAGAGCGGCGTTCTGGCAGAGAGGGTCGCCGCTGATTCCAAAGAAGTTTAACAGGTCAGAAAGCATCACGCTGTGTCTGAAGACAGTCTTCAGGGAGGACTCTCAAAGTGACAAACGACACAGACATGCATTTGGTGGCTGAGGATCCTGAAACTAACCCCTAGCATGTGATGTCGCCCAAGGACTAGGAGAACCCCGTAGGCAGATGGCGTGAGGAAGACAGAGACAGACACGCTGCACGTTGTTATTCCCTAAGGCGGTCGCTCGCACCCACAGGGCACTGGCAGCCTGGCCCAGAGCTGGGGACTCTGACCGCCTGTCCTCTATGTCCTAGCTCATGGGCTCAGCAAGGCGGCCCAGAAAAGGTGTGAAAGACATCCCTGGATAAGTTGGGAGCAGAACAGGAAGACACCCAGACGGTCCCAGAAGATCTGCAGAAAACACAGGTTCAAAGCTCAGACTGTTCACACCCAAGGAAAAGCAAGGAAAACCCAGGAGAGTCCAAGTCGCCTTGCTGTGGTCAGACGCACAGCAGGGGACAGCAATCGGCTCCAGGAGAAACTGCGCCCAGACCCGCCCTCCAGGAGAAGGGGGCATGCCCTATCACTGGAGGGCAGGGCGAGGAAAGTCAGAGAGGGCACCGGGGAGAGGACACGGTTAGAGACGGACAAGGTAGAGACAGGAGTCTCAGACAGCCAGCGACGGCAGACAGGAGACCTAAAGTAAGACCAGGCGCCCAAGCCTGAATCCGGATTCAGGGAGTCGGCTGGGGATTTGGGATACGGATCCCAGCTCAGGCCAGGAAAAGACAAGGAGACCGCAAGTGAGGAACTGAGTTCTCTTCCCTCAGCTCAGCAAAAACCGAAGAGATGCTGTGAGCACCCTGAGCAGCGGCTGAGGATCCTGGGCACGATCCACGCACTCAGACAGAGCAAGGCGCCAACACCCACATGCACCGTGCAAGTCGGGGCGCCCAGCAAGAGTGACGGGGAGCAGGGACCCGACCCGGCTCCGATAACCCCCAAAGCGCCTCCTCTGGAGATAACTTCCCCAGACCCCAAGGGGGCAGTCCTCAGACTCGGGATGGGGCAGCCCACGGCCCCCGAACCTCGGCAGGGACCCCACCCCGGCTTCCAGGGAAAGAGATGTGGAGCCAGCAGGCTTGGGGAGTCCCAGTCTGACGCCCGGGGTTCAAGGGCTGGGGTGGGGGGTCGGGAGTCGGGGCTGCCTCCCTCTCACCCTCCCGCCCTCCGGGGACGCGAGCCGAAAGGGCATCTTACCAGCGCCCGCGCGGGCAGTGCCCCGCGGCTGGCCCGCTGCTGCGCCCGGGGCTCTCCGGGGCCGCCTCCCCGCGCCCGCGCCGGGGGCTCCCGTCCTCCGCCGCCGCCGCCTCGGGCTGCGGCCGGCCCGGCGGGCAGGTCCCGCCGCTCCCGGCGCGGGGCCGGGGCCGGGGGCGGCTGCTCCGCGCCGCCGGCCGCTGCGCCCCCGCGGCGCTCCCCGGCCCCGGAGTCGAGGCTGCTGAAATTCCACACGACCAGCGTCTGCAGCAGCAGCACCGTGAGCGCCGCGAGCAGCGCCGAGTGCGAGCGCCGGGCCAGCCTCCGGGCGCACGGCGCCGCCACCATCTTCGGAGCGCGGCGGGCGAGCGGGGCGCGGGGACCCCGGGCGCTCCGGGCCGCCCCCGCGCTCCCCGCGGCTCCCGCGGCCGCCGGCTGCCGCTCGGGCTCGCGCTCGGGCCGCCGCCGCCGCCTCGGCTCGCCGCTGCTCCTCCTCCGCCGCCGCCGCCGCCGCCGCCGCCTCCACCGCCGCGGCGCGGAGTTTTCAGACGGGCAGGGACCCGGACGTCACCAGGAGGAGGGGAAGGCGGGGAGGCGGGGAGCGGGAGGCCGCGGAGGGGGCCGCCGGGCGCGCGCGCTCGGGGAGGGGGTGCGCAGGGCGGGCGGGGGCCTGGCCCGCGGGGCTCCCCTCCCCGCAGCCCTCTGCTGGGGGAGGGGGTGGTGGCGGGCCGGGGGCCTACGGGGGGGGGGCGGAGCGGGGGAACGCGGACCGGGGTGGCGAGGGGCGGGGTCTGAGGGCGGAGCGACGGAGGAAAGAGGAGGAGGGAAAGGAAAGGGGTGGGGGCGAGCAGAGAGGACGGACACCCTCCGCGGCAAGAGTAGGGGTGGGGTGGGGGAGAGGGGGACAGTTTCCACGACACAGAAAGAGAGGGGAGGGCGGAAAAGCAGGGGGAGCTTTGGGTGCGGGTGGGCCCGCTCAGAATCCCGGGGAGGTCAGGAAGATCTGGGGGCGCTGAGACCCTGCCCTGCATGAGGGAAGCAGGCACCAGGCTGCTGGGCGGAGCGGGCTCCCCGCCCAGGAGTTTGCAATCCAGGTGTGCTCCGGGAGCACACAGACGGCGGGGCAGGTGGAGACGGGAGAAACGATCAGGGGTGTCAGGGCCGCGGAAGGGTCCCACGCAGCGGCTCCCTGGATCCCTGGCTTGAAGGGGCAGGGAGGAGGCTATGAATGAGTCTCTGTGAGTGACTCCTGAGTCACACCCCATCCTCTAGAGCCAACGATGTACAAAGTGCTTCACTGAGTCACTTCTCTGGTCCCTCAGGACAAACAAGCCAAGAGACTCCAAACCCAGCTGGCGAGCAACGGCTTTGGTTGGGAAGGGGGCACCCGCTGGAGTGTCTCAACCTTCAAAGGCTGCAAGCTTCAAAGTCTGGCCGCTGAGCCCTCCACCAGGTTGTCCTTCCCATCCATCCCGAAGCCCTCCTTCCTGTATGTGCCTGGTTCAGCTCCTGGGGTTCTTTCCCATCCGGGCTGGGTTGTACCAGTGACCTTGAGCCAGGAGGACTCCTCCCAAGGCCTGAGCTTCCCTGTCTGTCAATGAGATTTTAGACTGATGAGCCCAATGGACTCAAGTTTCATCCCCAGCCTCCTCTGACTCAGTCTTTCCAGTCTTTCCTTGCCTTGTCCTCTCGCCCAGGGCTTTAGACACAACAGCCCTGAACCCATAGTGAGTGGAGACTGGGAGGGGGTGTCCTGGACAGGGCTTAGCACTATGAGAATACAGTAGCAGATCAAACCCCCAGTTGGTAAATCAGGGACTCAGGGGCGAATGCTTTGCACCTTGTCTGCTGTGCTTTTGAAACATCCTAATTTTTTAGGAGAAGGAAGTAGAGGAATAAACAGGATCCATCAGAGAAGGAGGCAGAGAGGGGAAAGAGGTTTCATCCCCATCAATAATCCAGGAACATCAAACTATGTCACACACGGGGCCAGGGGCAGGGGTCCAAAGGTGAGTGAGGCTTGGTCTCCCTTTCAGCAAGTCTGGACTTTTGGAGTCCAAAGGGGAGTCAGATGTAGATGTTGCTCATTAAAAAGCAATGAGGTCAGTGTGACTTGAGAGATGTGCACAAAGTGCTATTGGTTCTTGGGGGGGGAGGGAGTGACCACCTAGAAAATGCTTTTTGGACCCATATAATGAGCCAACCCACTTCCCTGAACTGAAAGTGTAAACCGTCAGCTAGTGGGGATTCTAATCTGCAGAATGGACTCAGCCTTCAGAATATCATGGCCAGGCATGTGGACAGGCATAGAGGCAGTCGCTTTGGGCTCAGCCCACCTAACCAGGAGTGAGAGAGAAGGAGAGAGGCAAGCTCTTTGGCCTTCTGTCATCTGTTTATCACTTGGGAGCATTTTGGTTATAATTAATAAAATCTTTATTCTAACCATCTTAAAAATAGAGTTTACTGGATCAGGCAATTGATTATTTTAGAGTAACGACATTAGGCATCAGGTCAGGTTTGATCCAGCAACTCAGAACTTGACCTAGAATTCCTTTTCTTTCCATCTCTGCTCCCTGCCTTTCATGGGGTCTGTTTCATCCTGAGGCTCCCTCTTCATGTCACAACATCAGTTGCTGAGACTACTTGTATCCTTTGTTCATTTGTAGCCCAGAGGAAGGAGGGTGTCTGTTTCCCAGGATTCTCCTCAAAGGTGCAGAGACGCCTCTGATTGAACTAGCTTTAGGTCAGAGGTCATCCCGAAGCAAGCAAGGTAGCCAGGAGCATAGAAGAGATGTGGATCAGCTTGGCCGAGGTCCTACACACCACCATCAGCACAGGGGGGAAGCCAGCTTTCCCACAACCACCTGGATGCTCTATGGGGATCATGGGCTTATGGGAAGGAGGGAATTGGTACAGGGTGGGGGGCAGGCACCATTATCTGTTCCATGCGGCCACAATGCTACATGATCTTGGGCGAGTCACTCCCCTCCAAGAATTTGGTTTCTTTTAATGCCAAATGATGGACTGGATGAGATGGATGGTCTCCAAGATCATCATGTCATGTCCCCAGAACTCTTCCTCAGTGTCTAAACAGAGCTTCCCAGTCTCATCAGAGGCTGCCCTGGGGACTCTAGGCATCAGCGCCCTCCAGCCTGTCTCTGCTTCTAGGTCTCTGCTGCATTTTCCTCTAAACAGCAATGATGTTATCTGCTTCCTGCACGTGACACGTTTAACCGTGGGCCTCTGGGGCCCATGCTCCGGTTCAGCTCCCCTGGGGGCCGCAGGCTGAAAGAGTGAGGTTAAGGATCCAGGCCTCCCCGTCCCTGGAGAGAGAGAGAGTTGTTTGTTTATCTCAACTCATAAAAAGCCATGCAAGAAAGAGGTTTAAAAGCTCTGGGCAGGTTATGGATGCCATAAACAGCTTATGTGAGGTTTTCAGGATGAAAAATCACCTGAGATAGGAGGGCAGAACCGCAAGCTACTAGGGTCGCCGAGATTATCTTCTTGCCCCAAGACAGACAGACAGCACCTGGAGAAGCTACACAGAGCCTGATGTAGAAAACGGGGCTGAAATACTCTAGCAGCGGCGGCCGTGACAACAGCAGCAAGTCTCTTTAGAATTTTTAAAGCTCATTCAGTCATTCAACACAGATGTATTGGACCCTATTATGCACCAGGAACCACGCTGGGCAAAAGAAAAATAGATATGAAGAAGGTTCCCTAAGGATTTTTTTTTTTTCTTTTTAAATACGGTTCTTATTCTCATGTTAACTGAGAGCCAGGGCTCTAAGGAAGTTCCAACTGATTTGTGGGATTCCCTCCGCATCCGCACACGCAAATCTTGTTTGGTCATCACTTTCAAATGAGGGGAGAGATCAGTGAGCAATTTGTTCTGAGCTCTTGGGTGTGCCCAGTGCTAAGCTAGGGGCTGGGTGGGGGGAATCAGTGAAGAGGTCTTCACCCTCAAGGAGGTGTCTGTCAGGCAGGTGCCCAACTCTGTTGCTTGTTAACTGAGACTTCTAGCATGTACTGTTTACCTTCTCTATGCCTCAATTTCCTCATCTGTAAAATGGGGCATAATAATAGGGCCTTTCTCATAGATTTCTTCAAAGGACTACGTGAGGTAACACGTATAAACGGTTTTTCTATAAAGACTGGAACATAAGAAGTGCTCAGTAAATGTTAGGTATTGTTCATTTCATTAATAAACAGTAGGAAAGTGTCAATGATGAGTATCCAAAGGTATCAGAGGGGAAAAAGGGGGCAGTCTGGGAAGGCTGCCTGGAGGAAGAGGCACTAAATCTAGTCCTCCATTTTGATAAAAGACTCCAAGTATCCCCAAGGGCAAGGATCTCTTCTCTCTCTGGCACTTGGCATAGTACAGGGCACAGAGTAAAATTCAGGCACAGAATAAACACCAGCTGGTGGATTAGAGCCTGGTGCTTACAAGTGCTTCGCAGAACCCATCACTATCTGAGCAACTTTTTAGCTGTGTGATTTTAGGCAAGTTGCTTAACATTACCGAACCTCATTATTCCAGTGTGTAAAAGATGAAGAAAAAGAATACTTCTGTCCTAAGGCTGCTGGGGGACAGGGATCAGGGTAGCGTATAAAACAGAGGGTCCTATATTTCATATAAAGTGTTGGCCTTGGCCAGCGGCAGTATAGAAGGAATGCCAGCCTGCCCATGCTGGCAGGCTGGTCTGTAAAGAAATGCTCTTCCCTTCTGTACTCCGGAGAGAAAGTACCAGAGACCTAGGGCATGGCACGCCTTCTTGCGAATTCAGATAAACTTCAACCTAAGAGTCAAATGTAGTCAAATACTTTTTTATTTACCTTAATTTGTCTTAATCTTAATGTGTCTGTTTCTTTTTGGTTTATTAAAGCCTGTTTTGACCCAAGCTCTGTTTTGACCCTGACTTTGCTCTTAAAAATGTTTAAACCTCTCCCTTGGTTTCACTTCAACATTGCACTGAAATCATCAACACGGGTCACCTGTTTGGCAGTGTCGGTGGGAGGAGGCACAGAACATGGTCGCATCCTAGGCATCTGGTTCTTTCAGACAAGCACACGCAAAGCACCATGATCCCTGGGCACGTAGGGTCAGAGGAGCCTGGATGCCGAAAGCCACTCCCGGCCCCCCCCCCCCCCAAGGACAGGAGGGCACAAACACGCATCACCTGTATTCCCCACCTCCCACTCGACCCAAGACGAGGGAAACAGTCTCTGATCAGACCACAGACACCGGCAGGCGTCGCGACCGGCCAGGCACCTGACTGTCTGACACACACTGCTGTTCCAGGGAACTGTCCACCCCGTGTATCAGCAGAGGGAGCTCTAGGTAGCAAATAACTTTCCTCTGACCACAGACTTTCCCACAGACTCCATCTGAAGACAGCAAGGAAAAGCTGGGGTCCTAAGTGGGGCTGGCATCCATTCCATGCG